GAGAGACAGAGACAGAGACAGAGACAGAGACAGAGACAGAGAGACAGAGACAGAGAGAGAGAGAGAGAGAGAGAGGGAGGGAGAGAGAACATTTTGAAACAAGCTGTTAAAGTTATGTGTAAATATCTGGCATGGTGACTCATGACCATAATCTAAGCAACTGGGAACCTGAGGCAGGAGGATTGCTGAGAGTTCAAGTCCAACCAGGGCTACATAGTGAGCTCCGGGCCTTATGAGCTATAGACAGTAAGACCCTGTCTCAAAAGAAGAAAACAATTAGGAAAGGAAAGAAAAAAAGAGAGATGAAAGGTTGTAAGGTTGTATATAGAAACTACTAGATGCCATTTGGAATGCAATGCTTACACCAATGATCTTTGGTGTGTGCATGTGTGGTGCTAGGGACACATGCATGCCGGACAAGCTCTCTAACACTGTTACAATCCCCAATCTCTTTATATCATTTTGAAAGTTAAAAAAATCAACGAAAACAATTTCTTCAAGGAAATAGTTACATTTATAAGCTTATGCTATTGTAGCTGGAAAGTAGATTTTAAAATATAGCGTAATAACCTACAAAAGGCAATTGTCCTAGTTTCATTTCTGTTGCTCTAATAAAACACACTGAAAAAAAAAAGCAACTGAGGAGGCTGGAAGCAGCATCAAGTGAGCCAGGAGCTCAGGCCCAGAGCAGCTTCCAGGGAGCCATGAGCCTAAGGCCTGGAGCATCAGTGTCAGAGGGAGGTTCAAGCTTCAGGCCCCCAGCATTGTCAAGGGAGCCACAAGCTCCAGATCCAGGACCAGGGTCAGAGGGAGACCCCAGTCTGAGGCTCAGGAGCGAGGAGTGATCACTGGGTGAAACGACAGCAGCAGTTTCCAGCAGAAGCTTCCAGAAGCTACCACAACAAGTTCCTCTGGGAAAGAAAGCCAGTGTCCGGGCCAGCCTCCACTGTCATTTTTTACTACATCGACCACTGGACCCTCAGTCGCATCTATACTTCCAACGGAAGGAGTGTCCACCAGAGCTGTAGCCCCACTTGCACCTCAAGGAGCGACCACCTGAGCATGGGGCCCACTTCCACCAGGAGGAGCGCTCACAAGAAGCTCTGCTCTATTTGTGCCTGAAGGAGCGGTCAATGGAGCCCAGCCCCCAACTGTACCAACTACAGAAAGCGAGAACCCCTGAAACACAAGCTCCACCTATACCAATTAGAGGAAGAGATGGATAGACAACAAGGTAAGAACACACTCAACAATATAAAGAGCAATGCGGCACCACTAGAAACCAGGGGTGCTATACGGCACCACTAGAAAATAGTGCTGCTACAACAGCAAGACCTAAACATCCCAACACAGTTGAAGTAGAAGAAAACGACCTAAAATACAACCTTATGAGGATGACTGAGGCCCTTAAAGAGGAAATGAAAAAATCCCTTAAAGAGTCTCATGCTCCACCGACTGAGCTAGCCGGGCGCTCTGAAAAAATCCCTTAAAAAAATGGAGGAAAAGACAAACAAAAAAATTGGAAAATATCAACAAATCCCTTAAAGAAAACAAAGAAAAAGCAATCAAACAAGTGAAGGAAACGATTCAAGACAAGAAATCTTAAGTAGAGGCAATAAAGAAAACAAAAACCAGGGGAATTCTGTAAATGGAAAATCAGGGTAAATGATCAGGAACCACAAATGCAAGCATAAGCAACAGAATAAAAGAGATGGAAGAGACAATATCAAGCATTAAAGATAATTTGGAGGAAATACATTCATCAGTCAAAGAAAATTTTAAATCCAACAAATCCTTAACACAAAACATGCAAGAAACCTGGGACACCATGAAAAGACCGAAAGAATAATAGGGATAGAAGAATGAGAAGTCCAATTCAAAGGCACAGAAAATATATTCAACAAAATCGTAGAAGAAAACTTCCCCAACCTAAAGAAGTACATGCCTTTGAAAATGCAAGAGGCTTACAGAACACCAAAAAGAGTAAACCAAAAAAAGTTCCCTCGCCACATAATAATCAAAACAATAAACATACAGAATAAAGAAATATTAAGAGCTGCAAAGGAGAAAGGCCAGGTAACAAATAAAGGCAGACCTATCAGAATTACACCTGACTTCTCAACAGAAACAATGAAAGCCAGAAGGTCCTGGTCAGATGTTATACAGACACTAAGGGACCACAGATGCCAGCCCAGACTACTTTATCAGCAAAGCTTTCAATAACCATAAATGGAGAAAACAAGATATCCATGGTAAAAAAACAAATTTAGACAATACCTGTCCACAAATCCAGCCCTACAGAAATTACTAGAAGTAAAATGCCAACCAAAGGAGATCACCTATGTCCATAAGAACACAGGAAATAGATGAGCTTATAGCAACAAAACCCAAAGAAGGGAATTGAACACACAATGCCATCACCAACAACAAAAACAAAAATAACAGGAACTAGCAATCACTGGTCATTAATATTCATTAATGTAAATGGTCTCAATTCACCTATGAAAAGACACAGACTAACAGAACGGATATGAAAACAGAATTCATCCTTCTGCTACATACAAGAAACACACCTCAAATGCACAGACAGACATTACCTCAGAGTAAAGGGATGTGAAAAAATTTTCCAATCAAACAGACCTAAGTAAAAAGCTGGTGTAGTTATCCTAATATCTAACAAAATAGACTTCAAACTAAAATCAATCAAAAAAAAGATAAAGAAGTTCATTTCTTATTCATCACAGGAAAAATCCAGCAAGAGGAAATCTCAATTCTGAACATCTATGCCCCAAACACAAAGGTCCCTGCATTTGTAAAAGAAACATTATTAAAGCTTAAATCACAGATCAAGCCCACACACTAATAGTGATAGACTTCAATACCCCACTCTCATCACTTGGCAGATCTGCCATACAGAAACTTAACAGAGAAAGAAGGGAACTAATAGAGGTTATGACTCACATGGACTTAACAGACATCTATAGAACAGTCCACCCAAACACAAAAGAATAGACTTTCTTTTCAGTACCTCATGAAACCTTCTCAAAAATCGACCACATACTCAGTAAAAAAGGAAACCTCAACAGATTAAAAAAATTGGAATAAACCCCTGTACCCTATCAGATCACCACAGCTTAAAGACAGAATTCAACAGCAACATTAATTTTAGAAAGCCCACAAACATATGGAAATTAAACAATGATTAACTGACCACTGGGTCAAGGAAGAAATAAAGAAAGAAAGAAAAGACTTTCTAAAATTTAATGAAAATGACCTCACAACATACCCAAACTTATGGGACACAATGAAAGCAGTGCTGAGAGAAAAGTTCATAGCACTAAATGCCTACATAAAGAAGCTGGAAAAATCCCACACTAGTGAGTTAACAGAAGAACTGAAAGCACTAGAACAAAAATAAGCAAACTCACCCAGAAGGAATGGATGGCAAGAAATAGTCAAATTGAGAGCTGAAATCAATAAGATAGAAACACAGAAGACAATGCAAAGAATCAATGAGATAAAGAGTAGGTTCTTTGAGAAATTCAACAAAATAGACAAACCTTTATCCAAACTAACCAAAAGCCACAGAAAGAATATCCAAATTAACAAAATCAGAAACAAAATGGGGGATATAATAACAGACACTGAGGAAATCCAGAGAATCTTCAGGTCATACTTCAAAAACATACTCCACAAAATTGGAAAACTTTAAGGAGATGGACAATTTTCTAGATAAGTACCACATACCAAAATTAAATCAAGAACAAATAAGCAATTTAAATAGACCTATAACACTTGATGAAATAGAAGCAGTCATCAAAAGTTTCCCAACCAAAAAAGCCCAGGCCCAGATGGATTCAGCACAGAGTTCTACCAGATGTTCAAAGAAAATCTAATATCAATACTCCTCAAATTATTCCATACAATAGAAACAGAAGGAACATTGCCAAACTCTTTTTATGAGGCTACAGTTACCATGATACCCAAACCACACAAAGACACAGCTAAGAAAGAGAATTACAGATGGAGTTTTGGACCCCAGACCGATGGCTGGGAGGCCAGCATGGAACTGACCTAGATCCCCTGAATGTGGGAGTCAGTGAGGAGGCCTAGGCAATCTATGGGGCCTTGGGTAGAATTTATCCCTGGCATACAAATGGACTTTGGGTGCCCATCCCACAATGAGGGATGCTCTCTCAGCCTGGACTCTTGGGCAAAAGCCTAGGCCCTGCCCTGAATGAAATGACAGACTCTGAAGATCCTCCATGGAGGGCCTCACCCTCCCTGGGGATCAGAGTGGGGATTGGGTGGGGACCTGGGGGGCCTAGTGGGGGAGTCCAGGGAGGAGGGGAGGGAGAGGGAGCTGGGATTGACATGTGAAGCAAGCTTGTTTCTAATTTAAATTTTTAAAAAAACTAACCAGCCTAGTAACTAATATTTCCCCAAGTTTTATAAGCCTCTATTCTTACATTTAGACTCAACAATGAGGAAACTCGGCACAGAAGTATAGTCTGACACAAGTTTAAATACATTGCCTGGCCTGTTAGCAAGTCTGATTGCTAATTGGTGGTGGACAGCTCACATGGGGAGGAACTGGAAAGGGGAGAGAGTGAGATAGAAATGTTGTAAATACAGTACTCATGGATGAAATATCAAAAGCATTAAAATAAATGTAAACAAGATGCCTAAGGTCCCACTTAAAGGTTATATAATCAGTACAAATTGTTACAAGGCGAATATATTGACTGGCAGTACTGTCTGCAAGTTGTCCCGGGAGCTCCAGGAACAGAGTTCTTCTGAGTACTCACTCACACAGGGGTGATCTTTTCAGTGATATGACTATCTTTGAATCACTGATTCTCCTGTAAGAAACTCCCCATCCCCCCCCCCCAACCCAAATGTAAATCTTACTGGTTTGCTGAGCAGGGTTTGGATATAGTCACTTCATTGTTACTGAGACTTTATCTGAAGTAAACCGACATTTATTCACATCTTTCCAGGAAAAGCGATGCCTCAATTTACACCTGAAGAGGAATCAATGGAACCAACATGAATGAGGGAGGAATGATTGTAGAGTCCCTGAAAGGGGTGATATCACATGCAGCCTACACCGATGCAACTGAGGTTGAAATGTTGGTAGGTACAAACTAGACATGGTTACCTTTTCCTCTATGGCATGGGATGTGGTTTCCTTGCCTTACTAACAGTTCCATGCTCCTTTGCAATGGATGAGAAGACATGCAACCAAGACTGAGGCATCTGAGAATGGAGTGACCTTGGGGGCATCCCAGGATGGCTATCTTCCTCATCAGCTATGGGTGGTTGCCTTGCTGATGAACTGAATTTGCTCCCTGAGTACAGAGACACCTCCCTTCAAGACAGCTGCAATCCCTACAAGTAGCATGCATGTGACATGATTGTAAGAAAGTTGTGGTGGCTGTTGCATGATCTTTGCTATAGACAATAAAACATGCAATTTGATTTCATTGGTAAGTTTACCTCGAAATATTTGGTCTGCTGGCATTACAACCTAAAAGTAAACTAATAGACTGCATTTTTCAGGTATCTATTAGTATCTTGTGAGTTTTATTGAGTTTGATTAACTAGCCAAAGTCCTCAGCATTTTCAAATTAAAAGCTGAAAGGTCACATCCCAGCCCTTGGTAACCTCACTAGGAGACACTACCTAGGAAGCCCATTCTACATAGCTTATTGGCTTCTAATTATTATCATAATTACCAGCCTTCAGGGAGCCACTGGAGCCCAGAGCTTGCATGGTTACCACTTACGCCACATGTTCCTTAGTAACCTGGAAAGGTCATCAGTGGCCCCTTGAAAGCACCTAATGAACCCAGAGTTTTCTCCTGTGAGTTCTTCCACTGTACAATTCTCTCTCAAGTGCAATTTTTGCATAGGGTCAGCTTGGGCTACAGAGCAAACATTCTAGTTGTTATGATAAAGCGCTTGGGGGGGACCTTGGAGATTCCATGACAGGCAAGGGTGACAGAGGCGGAGGGACAAACATCCCAGGCAGACAGAGCTTAAGTGAGAAGTTTTTATTACAAAGGGAAAGGGAGGAAGTTAAGAGAAAAGAGGTAAAGAGACACAGAGACAGGGAGAGGGCAGAAGAGAAGGGGGAGAGAAGAAAAGTCCTATCTGCCCAGGGAAACAGCAGGAAAGAGAGCAGGAATGCGAGCCTAAGTGGGCGGAGTCTTTCTTTCAGAGGGGTCCTTTGCACCTGCGTGCATACTAGTAGTCAATGAACCCTGGGCTGACCGGTGTACTGCCTGAGTGCATTCTGCCGGGTGACAGGGGCAGGGCAGCATAATATAATGCCTGAATCCTTACACAAAAGGGAAGGTAGGTTGGAGTATGTCCAAGAGGAACACACAACAGTGTCACAAGGGATCAAGCACATAAAGGGGGAAGGAGGGAGAGTAAAGAAAGTGGGAGGTGACAGCTCATGGGGGTGAGAGAAAGGAAAAGCAGGAAATGCATTCCTTTAAATGTTTCTATTTTCCCTATTACTAGTGGGATTTATTATGCATGATACCTTTGAATTGCCCTGCAAACTGCTGGCTCATGCCACTTGCCATTTTTTTTTTCGAGTTTCCTTTCCCCTCTTTATCGGATGCATCTTTTCTGTCTTTCACATCAATATTTTCCAGGCTATATGTTGTATGCGTGGCAATTCTATTAACTTGACTTTGACGGTTATATCCATCTGTTGCTGTACATAGTTTTATATTTTGGACTATTTCTGTTTTATTTCTTGGGAAGCTTTCCTCTCTACTCTCAAGTAATTCTGTCATAGTTTTTCTAGTAACTTCATTCTTTCCAATGATGAGGGGAGTTCAATTATTTTCAAAAACCACACCTGCATCAGATTTTCCTCTACTACTTCTGTAGCCCCCACTACTTTAATGCCATCGTTATAACGAAGGGCTAGAGACTGGCGTGGTGATGTATGTTTGTAATCCCAGCACTTGGAAGGTAGAAACAACAAGATGAAGAGTTCAACGCCAGCTTTGGCTACAAAGTCACTTCAAGGCCAGCCTGGGATAGATAGGACTATCTCACAAATGGGAAGGGGCAGCCCAGGGAACTATAAAAGACACGTTGACTAGAAAGTCCATCCTTTTCTGCTTATTTATCCGATTTTGACACTGATATCCCAGTACCTTTTAACTATCAAACACTATTAGTATTCTCAATTATAACCAACTATATGCAATTCATACCCACAATGCTGCTGAAATACTAGCGAAAAGACACGCTCTTCATTGACGGCTCTGCTTAATAGAACATCTTCCTCAAGGGCTTCTGCATGACCATCCATAAAAGCTTCAGCCCACAGCATTCGTCTGCGCTGCTGGCTTTCCAAATACACTTCTTTCAAGTATATGCAACATGTATGCCATCTCACATTTATCATGTATCTTAGCAGAATGGCAAGAATTTTCATCTTGTTTACCATGGTATCTCCAGCATGTATGAGTATAAAGATGACCTATAAAGGCTGAATAAACTACCAAATGGTTGAGAATATAATCAAGAAAAAAGGCAAAAGCACTAAGTATGCTAGAAGTTATGATTCATTGGCTTTGTCACTAGTGGGATTTAGGTTTATTAAGCACATATTAAGGGAAAGAACAAATTAAGTAGCATGCATGTTTAACAGATTTAGGAAATCAGATTACTCAAAAAAAATCCTAAAAAAAAGCAAACTATCCAGTTTGCCTATTTTATTTATATGTTTATTATTTATTTTTATTCCTATGCTTATGCTGTGGTTACATTTGAGCACACCTATCCAGTATAATACTAGGTTAGCACTAAAACATGGTGATGCAAGCATATTTATTGACATGAAGTCTGAAAAGAGCATGCAATATTTAATAGGACCACATTCTCATAAAAAGAACACACACCTATAAATGTAAGTTCTTGGGAGTGACATTCTTTAAAACACTAACAGTGGGGGAGGGATGGCTCAGTGGTTAAGAGCACTGGCTGCTCTTCCAGAGGTACTGAATTCAATTCCCAGCAACCAGTTAGCTCACAACCATCTGTAATGAGATCTGGTGACCTCTTCTGACCTGCAGGCACACATGCAGGCAGGACAGTGTATACATAATAAACAAATCTAAAAAAAAAAACAAAAAAACAAAGAAACTGATGGTGACTGTCTCTGGATGGGACAATGTAATTAGACATTAATTTCTTATTAATTTCTCTAACCATGTTTGGCAAAAGTTTTTAAAGGTCTTGATGCAGAAAAGGGTAATATCATGTGACTGAGTGAGCTGGCATCCCTACCAGTCTACCTTCCTGTACTGCAGATGGTAAAGCCCTCCCCCTCCCCCCCAAAAAATCTCAGAATCCCTTAAAGGAAAATCCATGAATGATTTACACTGCCAAAGTAAAGCACAAACTGTCTCCTGTTACTCAACTATTTTCAGGTGCATGTTTAGATACAAAGGTTGGGGTTTTTTGTTGTTCCAGTTGTGTATCAGGTGTTTGCAGCAGATTCCTTGTTCCTGGAATGCAGGAGAGCACATCCTGACTTCATTATCTCCAGTGACAGACAGATACTCTCATTGCGTTGAAGGAAAATATCCAGTATAATTTGCTGGGAGTCAATTCTGGAGACTTCCACTTGAGCCCATCCTCCAAACCTTCCAATAGCTTTACACAAAAAGGATTGTAGCTCCAAAACTCAATGTTATTCTTCCTTCCCTCTCTAATAGTTAACACAGCTTGAATGCTCATGCTATTAAAGATATAAAAATGAGAAATTACAAATGATTCTGTGATACAGTACAGAAAGGGCATGCAATAAATACTAACATATAAACGGGGGCATTTACATAGGAAAAACGAATTGCCAAATACACTAAAACGTTCTTGTGATCACCTCTGTTGGCAAGCCTTGTGTAACAAATTTTTGTTTGTTTGTTTTTTGTTTTTTGTTTTTTTTGTTTTTCGAGACAGGGTTTCTCTGTGGCTTTGGAGGCTGTACTGGAACTCACTTTGTAGACCAGGCTGGCCTCGAACTCACAGAGATCCCCCCTGCCTCTGCCTCCCAAGTGCTGGGATTAAAGGTGTGCGCCACCTACGCCCGGCACAAATTTTATTTTTGCTCAGCTGTTTTCTCTACTATTTATTTTAAGGGCTGAAAAAAAGAAAAAGAACCTTTTATTCCTCCTTACCATTTCAAAGAAACTTTTAAAAGGAAAAAAATGTAAATGTATTTTGAAATACTGTAGGCAATTAAGACTAACTGAAGGTATTAATCTGAATGCAGCACCATAATTCATTATGTGTTACACACCTAAAAGAGCAACATGTGCCGGGCGTTGGTGGCGCACGCCTTTAATCCCAGCACTCGGGAGGCAGAGGCAGGCGGATCTCTGTGAGTTCGAGGCCAGGCTGGACCGACAGCCTCCAAAACAGAGAAACCCTGTCTCGTAAAACCAAAAAAATAAAAAAAAAAAGAGCAACATGCCCCATCATTCCAGAAACAAACATCCTTCTAACCCAGTGGCACGGTCAAGCTGCTGCTTTCTGCTTAGACAAATGGCAGCTATCTTGGGAACCAAACATGAGGTGAGATGAGGCAGTGCTGCAGCTGTTGGTAAGTTTTCTGTGTTTACAACAGCAGAGCATCCCGGCAGTGAAATGCCTTTCTCCACCCAGTGGTTAAATGAGATTTTAGAAAAGGCAACGTTCATTGAATGTCTGTAAAAGATTCCTTCCAAAACTTAACTAACACAATGGCTAATTCTGGTTTGCTGTTCAGCTCTCCATTTTTTCTACCCATGAGCTCCATTACTTAGTTTCAAATAAAAAACATATAGGACCAAAACAATGACTTCTTTATCTACAAGCAGAAATGGCCATGAAGAACCCTGCATTCACAATTGTGAGGCAGATATCCTATTCTTAAACTATGACTATTCTTACCACATTTTAGCAGAATTAGATCAATAAGATTGTGTGCCTATTATTAGTTTTATAAAACTACATTTAAAATGATACCACTTCCTCCTAATTACATCACTCAGTGGCAAGTTTTTGTTTTAGTATACTACTTTGGGGTCTTTTATGGTTACTGCTCTCTATGACTTAAGAAACCCGTGACTATCCTCAAGTCACAAAAATATTCTTGTATGATTTTGCAAAAACAAAAACAAAACACTGAGCTTTTTAGCTGTTATTTGTAGGTGTATGATTAAGCTCAAATTCATTTCTGGGAGAAGTGTTAGGGTCACAGCTCATTTTTTTCATATGAAAATTCAGCTCTTCTGTCTATGCTGAAAAGTCCTTTCTTGATTGCTCTGCCAACCGTTGTCAAAAATCAAGGGATCAGATAAATATGAACCTATTTTAGGTTCTCTCATGTATCCTACTCATTTATTTGGTTAGTGGCTACTACTTTCTATAGTAAATCTTGCATGACTTTGTAAAACTTAAGTCTCAATAAA